TCGGAGAATCCTCGTCCTTTGCCAGTTTGCTACTAGCTAACAACATTCTGTTTACATACATCCCTGTGCTGTTGTTAGTCATTCTTTACTCCATCATCTTCATCAAGCTCAAGACACAGGTACACCCAGGTGAACAGTCGACCAACAATCAGCAACAGCGGAAAAGAAGAAACAGAAACGTTCTTCGAATGTCCATTGCAATCGTAACAGTGTTCGTGCTTTGCTGGTTACCTTACAATACTAACCATTTAATCATAGAGTATCAGGATTGGTCTGCCCATTTCTCGTGTAGTTTTTGGATATATTTTCATGTAACCTACTTTAAGATTCACGCTTACTGTGCTATCAACCCGATTATCTGCTTCATGTTTAGTAGTAATTATCGGCAAGGTGTAAAAGACTCATGAAATGTTCTTTTGTACAGGCCTAAGTCGCAAAAATGTGCTTTTGATATGCATGAATATGTCAAGAGTTAGAGGTTCATGGAAAATTTGCCAATAAAAACTATCATGACTGTTAATGTACTTTGAGAAATAAAATGTGTCTCAGTTTATGTCCCACCTTCCTTTGCCCTGCCATGACTGCGAAGAGTGACAGCATCAATTCAGAAGCAGTTACCAAGTCCGTTCCTCGAGGCTTTCTGAAAGTCACGCTGTTGGAGAAAGGTATGAAGTTTTCATTTGTTTTAATCGCCATAATCCGATACTTTTAACTGTCATCTAAACCGATAATGTCTATTTTAAGAAAGTTTTTATCTTCAAGTTCCCATTTGATTGTAAAACTCAATTGAAATCGAATTCCACCATGAAAGTCAGAGGATTTTTTACGAGTCACTGATCTGACCTGTTCCGACACGTTGAGGAGATGTTATAAAGCATTTTAAGTTTCATTGATATTATAACAGCACGGTCAATCTTCCTGGAGTGATTTTGTTGTTCAAAATAAGAAATGCTGGTGGAGAGAGAAAATACTTAATTACAGCGAGTAACTTAACGGAGCTTACGTTAACCTTATATAAAAGTAGTAAGAACGTACTTTTGAAATGTTTTTTTATTCGTTTTATTTTGTATTACAGTATTGTTTGTTTAGATTTTTTCCCCTGGGATGGGGCCTTTTTTGACACTTTTGATTGACCTTTCGTTTCCCACCATGGGAAATTTGATCCAAAAATTTTGAAATTTGTCAAATCCCCACCCCTTGCCGGCACCCCCCTCCCCACGGGGTTTACATTGATAGGTGCATAACAGTGCCAGATCCAGACCTTGAGATAATAGGGGGGGGGTCCAGGTCCTCCAGACCCTTAGATGGGGTAGGGGGGAGCCAGTCTCCAAAAAAGGTTTTTCGGCCTTTCGGGTCTCGGTTTGGTCTAAAACTAAGGGGTGACCCGCGCCCCCCGGGTCCCTCCCTTGGATCCGCCACTGAATAACACTCAGGGATCAGGCGGTGTTGGACACGGTCCGAAGGGCATCATGGGGAAAAAATCAAAAACGGCTCATTTGCATCTGACCTTCGCTTTGTTCACATCTCTCGTTACGCCATAAAAATACCGGGAGAAATAGTGTGATATGGGCATTACAGGTTTTCTTCCGCTTTTAAAGGACACAACATGCGATGTTCATTTGAGATCTTTCTCTGGAAAGGTGGCCGCAATCGACGTTTACTGCTGGCTTCACAAAACTGTTATTTTCTGTGTCGAAGAGATAATTTTGGGATCGAAGCAACGCGGTACGTATCAACACATCGTTCTTACATGTGCCTAAAGTGCTTGATTTTGAACGTAAGCTTCTCTTTAGCGCTCTTCTCACCTCAGATTTTTTTTCCAGGTACATTGACATGTGCATGAAGGATACTGATCTTCCCATCGAAAATAATATGCAACCTATTCTGGTTTTCCAGAAGAAGCTGGAGGCCAAGGCAAATGTGGAATCCTCCTCCTCTAACTTGTTGTTGTTGAGGACAACAGCAAGTTAGCGGAGGTTTTCTAGTCATTTTTTTCCGTATGAATTCAGTTTTATCTGTTCGTTATGTTTTGTATGATTTATTAGGAATCATGAAGAATCTCGCACAGAAGGTTTAACTCTTTGCGGACAAGGGCAGAAGGAAGAAGCCAAGGAATATTCAAAACCGAGGGCCTAAGGGCCGATACGATGACATATATATTACAAAAAAATATCATATTTTTAAAGACGAATAAAAAGGAAATGAAAGAAAGTATTCTGAGCTGATCGTGTAGTGAAAGTATTCTAAGCTGGTTCGATCGTGACCGCGCGAGTATATTTATAATACTAAAGATGCCGCGGAATGGAGTCACGATTCACGCACGTAGGTATACTTCAAGTGGCATTTTGACCCTTAAAACGGCGGGGCCCGCTGGGGCCCGCCGACCATTTCAGATTCTTGAACAACAAAACTAATAGATTATGCTAAAAAATGGAGGTCAGGGGTCGTTGAACACAGAGAAGATGTAGACTGAAAAGCATAAACAATAGCTCTTAACTAAACAAAGGGATTATGCGCATGAAGAATTACAACGAACAATATCAATAGAAAACAAACATACATCATATTGTTTTAAGAACTGCGGCTTGCTACATCTGTCTACTCAAACTTTTCCAAAAAAAATCATCGTAAATCACTTGATAAACGGCGAAAATCGAAGAAAATCGAAGAGACTATCAGCACAAAGGTGAAAGAATCAGTCCGCCATCTGCAATGATGTGATTGGACAAAATTGGTCACGTGGACCGTGTCCAACACCGCCTGCTCAGGGATTGACCATGCACCCTCTCAGCAGCAGAGCTGTTCATTCGCTCGCTTGATCACTTGGCGTCACTCAACAAATTAGGAGGTTCTGCTCGCAGGGTGAGATGGACCATTAGAAACGTTATGGGAGTGGGGAAGGGGAAGTACAAAATAAATATGCAGGGAGGAAATAAGCTGAAAAATAAAAAAAAATGTTAACGAAAAATGATATGTATCACAATAGTTTTCACCGATCGATTTCTAAATGAGACAAACACAATGGCTTAGTATTCATTAATCTGCTCCCTGTAGTATAGCAGGGGCAGCGATTCCTTTTTCCTTTTTTCCGCCCCGTGAACATTTAATTTCGCGTGCATTTCCCCCTGACTATCTGAGAGCCTGGAACAGCTCAGTTTAACCAATGTAAAGAAAGAGGAATGGTCACGGATGCAAAAAAGACTGAGTGCCGCGTATCAGCGACAGAACTGATGTAATTGCAGGTGTTTAATCGAGGCCGCTGACATGCGCGGGGAACAGAAGACGTGTCATCTGTGGAACGGACCATCATGTTTCTTCAACGTACCTCGCGCTTGTATGCCAGAAAAGGTGGTTGCATGAGGAAAGACACATCGAGTTTGCTCATCCGTTGATCAGAATAGAGTGCGAAAGTTCTGTAGTAGAAATCGTTTGACCTTGATGTTTAACCGGCGGTATATGAGATCAAGGCGTACTCTATCAACGTTACGTCAGGCTTTTAGCACAGGAACAGCCCGTCATGACGGCTAATGGTTGCATTGATATGAGTTACGCGGGTGGGTTTTCAGGTCATTTTTAAGATAAAATGCCACAACATTATCGAGAGACAAGAATTCTAATAATGAAATACTGAAGGTTGTAGCAATTAAAAACAGTCAAAGACTGACGGAAGAAACACGTACGCCTTGTCTTTTTGTTTAAGAAAGAACGTGTGTTTTATAACCTCCTATTTTAAGTTCTATCGAGAAGTAAATGCATAAAAACTGCATATTTTATGCACACGTGATAACATGCATTTATGGTTTTTCCTCAAATTCCTGTTTAGCCTGGGCTTTTATGGCTTAAAGTCAGCTACGCCCCTCGATGCTTCTTGTATGCTATCAAATAGTGTAGTTGATGATCGAATATGCGTATTTTCAAATTGGCACATCAACTAACAACACTTGCATTTGTTAATGGAAAGAATCATGGCTTTACAATAATTGACAAGAAAAACACATTTTAGTGTATTTAATCGATTTTGTCTAGTTTTTGCCAGGGGAAAAATTTTGTCGGCGGCGCCTTTGAAGATTGTCCCGTCCCAGGCAAAATTTAAAAAATGCGCGACAAACCATCCGCATCATTTACTAGGCGTTGATGATGACAGGATATTCCGCTATTCATAAGTTCTCTTTACATTTTCGCCGAAAGCATATTAGTTTTGAAAAGTAGGTTGTTACATAAATGACAATAAACTCAGTCCTTTCTCTTTTAAATGACTACCGTCATTAAACGCCCCTCTTGGAACCCTAAAAGTAGTAACCGCTATTATATATAAATGAAGTGTCACAACGTTATCGAAAAAAAACAGCTGTAGCCAAAAAGTACTGAAGTTTGTAACAACTAAAACTGAGCAGTCAAAAAAGTCTGAACAAGCCCTTGTCAGAAAAACCTCTGCTAGTTTCTCTTTGCCGACAGCAGACTTTAGGTTTTCCCATTTTTAGCTCGATCGAGAAGTAAATGTTATAAAAACTTCATGTTTTATGCACACGTGATAATATGCACTTATTTTTTCCTCATATTCACCTGTTAACCCTGGGCTTAATGGCATGAAGGCAGCTTCGCCTCCGCTTCCTGTGGTTAACTGTCAAACTTGTGTAGTTGATGATGGTACTACCAAAGATATCATTTTTTAATGTGTTAAAACACACTTTTTTAATCATCTTCTCAATCGACTTCTAAATACAACCACCTGACCTAAACGAAGTGTTCTGGTTGGTTTATAACATACTAATACCCCACTGTTTCTGTCAAAAGGTCAGTTAGCGGATAATGCCGGAACATTACAATACAAAGTCATTCTTTGAAGGCCTCAGAGGACAGCTGTGCTGTGGCTTCGCGGGGGGCTTGCAATTGTCAATAAAAGTTCTGCCACTCAAACAGCATACGCAGTATACAGAGCAGTAATTCAAAGTTACTTGACTGCATGTGTACAATTCCGTAGATACGTCGCAAAGCTAAGCATGAACTCAACGGCGAACGGATCCAGCCAGTCTTCGAGCTGCTTCACTCAGTTAAATTCCACAGCGTGGAAAATCGGAGGAACCGTTGCCTACTGTCTGTTCATTATCGTTTCACTGGCCGCAAATTCTCTCATTGTTATGATCGTTTATAAAACGCCTAACTTAAGAAAACCGATAAATTACTTCATAGCAAACATGGCCTCATCTGATTTGCTGTTTCCAATATTCTGGATACCTTTGAAACTGTCAAAGTTGAATGCCACCACGTTTGTTATCGATGGTCAGCTTGGCCAAGCCTTTTGTAAGCTTGTCTTCTTCTTTGCAAAAGTTTCCTTTGCCGTTTCGATTCAGAATCTGATTCTGATAGCAATGGATCGATTTGGAGCCGTGGTGTTTCCACTCCGTTCACCACTCATCAGATCCAAGCTGTGTCCTTGCTTCATTCTCGCCACGTGTATAGTTGCCGTAGCTTTCAATTCGCCATACTTGTTCACTTTCAAGCTCGTTGAACACCCAGAGGGAGCCTGGTGTGTTCAGAAATGGAAAAAAGCATTCACACAGTCCTCATCCTTTGTCAGTTACCAACTAGCTTACCACATTCTGTTTAAATTCATACCTGTGCTGTTGCTAGTCATTCTTTACTCCATCATTGTTATCAAGCTCAAGAAACAGGTACACCCAGGTGAACAGTCTGCCAACAGTCAGCAACAGCGGAACAGAAGAAACAGAAACGTGCTTCAAATGTCCATTGCTATCGTAACAGTGTTTGTGTTTTGCTGGTTACCATTCTCTATCAACTTTTTAATCGTATGGTATCAGGACAATTTCACGCATTTTTCGTGTAGTTTCTGGATATACTGTGAAGTCTCCATTTATATGGCTAACGCGTACTGTGCTATCAACCCAGTTATCTGTTTCATGTTTAGCAGTAATTACAGAAAAGCTCTTAAAAGACTCATAAAATGTTTTTTTGTACAGGCGTAGGTCGCAAAAATGTGGTTTTGGTTGAAGAGTTAAGAGTGCGAGGTTCGTGGAACACTCGGGAATAAATTTATCATGACTATCAATGTATTTATAGTAGGAATTAAAAGACTCATGAAATGTGCTCTTGTACAGTCGAAAGTCGCAAAAATGTGTTTTCTACTGAATATGTTAAGATTTAGAGATTTGTGGAACACTCGCGTGAATAAATGTATCATGACTATAACATTTTTAGTAGTAATTATCGAAACGTTCTTAGAATACTCTTAACTTGAATGACCCTTTGTACAGGCTAAGTCGCACAAATGTGCTTTTGATTGAATATGTTAAGATTTACAATGTACGTGGAACACTCGCGAATAAAAAATCACCAAGACTGCCGTTGGCGTACTTAACTGCATGAGGATTAAGTCTGGCATGACTGCGAAATATGACAGCATAGGCTACGTATTGTTAAAGGTTGGGCGGTAAATAAAACTCAGGGCGGACCATTAGAAACGTTATTGGGGGCGTACGCAGGTGAAGTACAACTGTACAACTAACAACTCTTAATTACTGCAGAAACGCTAAGTTATAGAAGAGGTTCTGCCGAAAAAAAGGAAGGAATAAAACGGACAATTATAAACATCTGTTGAATTTTTAGCGGCACTCCAAGGTTTGACAGTAATGTTTACTTCGTCAAAAGAACTTGAGCAAAGAAAAACACCGCATGTGTTTGTGGCACGTACGCCGTTCGCCCATTGCAAAAAAAAAAATACATGAACCAAAACGTTAAACAGGAAGCTTAAGCCGTACAGGAAGTTTAAGCCATGTCGGTCTTAATAACAATTATTGTGCTAAGACCTCGCAAGGGGACAAAATTTATAGTTTATAACGTTTGAAACTTAACTGATGGCCGCGATGCATATACTGCGTTGTCTGCGTTGAACAGAAGGCGACAGACAATGGCGGGCGATCCAGTCTTGAAACTGTTTCAAACGATTTACCAAGAAGAGACAAAACTACAATAGTGATAAACTGTTATCGTTCGAAGATGAGAAAATTTCCTCCGCTCTCGACCACAAGACTCCCTGATGACTCTTTTACACTTACACGTGGCGCTAAGAGCCACATTAAAAATGTTCTTGGCCTGGCGTTGTCAATTTTTGCTATCTGTTTGACGCAAACTCAACATACGTTTTCAAATACGCGTTTTGAACACATTAGAGTGAACTAACAGCTCTACACTAGTGAAGAATTCAATAATAATAATAATAATAATAATAATAATAATAACAGCTTCATAAAAAATACAATCCTGGTATTCACATATACTGTCAAGCGATAAAAATGTAAGCAACAGAGGTTATAGACTTCCAAAAAAGTCCTTCGTCCGATTTAATTTGCGTGGGCTATACAAAAGGGAATGCTCTTCAGTGGTTACTGTATGATATTGTTTAAATTTTGTTTAGAAACCAATTCTTTGTTCTCTCTCTTTGCTTTCCTTGGTTTTATATTGACTAGACAACCCAAGCTTGAAAGTGAAATTTAAGACAGAAAATCGATTTGAGAAAGTAAATAACTCGAAGGTTCAATGTTAATGAGTTTCTCCTAGCCAATTACAAGACTTACTCAAGCATTGATATGAGTTTTAAAGCGTTTGAGTCACTCTGGTCATTATAAATTTATGATTACTACAGCGTTATCGAGCGATAAAATTGTAACCAACAATTCTTAACAATTAAAAGCAGTCAAAGAAGGAACAAGCCTCGTCTATTTGTTGAGTAAGAACCTGCTAGTTTCCCTTTGCCCGACAACAGACTTCTGCTTTTCGAATTTCCCGTTTTTAGTTCGATCGAGAAGTAAATGATATAAACGCTGGCTGCTTCATGCACACATGATAGCAGGCATTTATTTTTACCCTGCTTCCTGTGTTTTCCTGCCAAATTGTGTACTTTATGATCGTATTGCTAACGATAACATTTCACACACCTGTTTAAAAATGGTGTTAAGCACGTATTTTCGATTCTCTCTTCCGAGAATCGTTTCTCACCGTAGCTACATTACAGGTCTATACATTTCTCGTGCAGTTTTTGGCTATACTTTGATGTCACCATGTGTATGTCTAACGCGTACTGTGCTAATTCAACCCGATTTTTTTGGTTCATATTTAGCATTAATTGGTTACAAAAAAGCTCTTAAAAGATTCATAAAATGTTCTTTTGTACGGGCGTAGATCGTAAAAATGTGCTCAGTTTGGCTCGGAAATATATCATATATCATGACTATCGGTGTACTCCAGCACTCTGAGAAGGTTTTAATATATGAGTGCGAGAAATGACAGCATAGGCGACGTATTGTAAGAGTTTGGGATAAAACTCGGCCGCGGACCGATAGAAACGTTATAGGGGCGTGGGCAGGAGAAGTACAAAAGTATTCGTTCATGCAAGGGAAAATTTATTACCTGAAAATTTAAGGGAAATGTTGACGATAAAAATTCGAATAATGATGATGGTATGAAATATCTGCTAGTAACTCTTCACTGTCTGTCTATTGTTGAAACTTCTGCTGTTCAGCACGTATTGCATTTTTAATTTGTAATCACACATTCATAACTAATTTATTGCAAAGTTTAGCCAATAAAAAAAGCTGAACACATCGGTTTGGTGGATCGACTAATTGATCTGACATGATTTTCAAACTGTTATTTTAGTACCTTCCTCACTCTCGTTGCTTAAATTCTGTTTAGAAGCCAATACTTTGTTCTCTTCCTTTGCTCTCCTTAGTTTATATTGACTGGACAACCCAACCTTAACCCCTTGTAAGGTGATATTTAAAACAGGAAATCGTTGTCACCAAGTAAATGACTCGAATTTTGCATATAATGCTAATAAGCCTCTCCTATAGCCAATCACAAACACTTCTCAGGCATTGATATGAGCTAAGCGGGGGAGTGGTTTCTTGTCAAGTGCCACATGTAATGGTAGTACCGGCAGAAGTTCGTAAAATCCATGGGAGTAAAAGAAATTAAATAACAAGCCTTGTATTTTTGTTGAAGAAGAGCCCATTATAGTTTAGTCTAGACTCTTGGTTTCATAACTGATTTCCCATTTTTTCCTCGATCGAAAAGCAAATGTTATAAAACCTGCATGTTTTATGCACACTTGAAGAACATGCACTTTATTTACCTCATATTTATCTGCCAAGCCTGGGCTTAATTGCTTGAAGGCAGCTGCTCGAGTTTAACAGCCAAATTGTGCACTTTATGATCGCATTGCCAAAGCCGGATAACATTTCACACACCTGTCATCAAGCACGTATTTTCAACTGTATTTTCAATAGTCTTAGATCAGTGTACAGAGAAACGACAGAACTACAACTGGTGATACATTGATAGTATTCATAGATGAAAAACTTTCCCGCGCCCTAGTTCACAAAAGCATGATCACTGCGGTTCTTCAGCAGCAGAAAAATTCCTCGTGGCCGGAGAGCCACATTTATTTAATAGATGCTTAGTTACTCTACTCCTTGAAGTTGCATTTTTACTATTTATTTGACACAAATTCCCTGAACATACGTTCTGAAATGGGAGTTTAAACACATTCTAGACTGTATTTCAAAAAATACACTAACATCTCTTCCATCTATTCTAGTGAAGAATTAATAGTACTACCACTACTACTAATAATAATAATATAATAACTTATTAATAATAAAAACGAACAATCCTGATATGTACCGTTAAGCAATATGAAAATGCAAGAAGCAGGAGTTTTAGAATTTCCCTTAGCCTTATTCGGTTCTCCCATATGTTTAAAGTTTGGTTGATGCTCTTCAGTGGAGGTGTGTGTGGCCAAGCGGTTAACACCTCGAACTCCGGGGTTCAAGCCTCGCCCGTCGCGTTGTTTCCTTAGAAAAGGAACTTCACTATCCACCTTGTCTCTCTTCACCCAAATGGGTAAATAAATGGGTACCGGCGACATACAGCTGGGGGGTAACCCTGAGATGGACTTACATCCCGTCCAGAGGGGAGAAGCAATACTTCTAAACATGCATCATGCTGAGGAAACCGGGATGAGCTGCGGCCGTTTGGACCTTTGGCTCGTGGGCGCCTTAACCTCACGTTACCTTTAGTAGCTTTGAGTGGTCGCTGCATGATAAATTAACTAAGGGATATTAAATCAGGATACAATGTTAGATATCACAAAGATTCATTTATTGGCTGTTTCAATTTACACTGCATCTTCTACTTCTAAGAAAATGATTAAAAGAAATCTTCTCCTTTCATGAATTCGTTGTAATGAAACATGTATTTCTTATGCGAATACAGTACGCCACCCTGAATCTTCGGCCTATCGCCGAAGATGTGTCAGCCTTCGGCCAACACCGAAAATTCCCGTAGCACCATAGAAAAACCTCTGGTACCCAGGGTAACGGTACGCTTTCTTGGGAATCGATCTAAAAGTACCTTTCGTCGTGATCTGAATTTTAAGGAAATAACCTATCTATCCTCCTTATTTATGGCGTTTTCATCTTGTGTGTTAGTTTTTCCTTGTCGTCGATTCAATTTAAGCAGTTGATGATTTTTAAATGAAACAAAGATAAAAAAATAATAATAATGATGGTATTGAATATCTTCTAGTTTATATTCTTAAGTGTATACTGTTAAGATTGACATCTACTGTTGTAACTTCTGTTGTCTAGCACGTATTGTTTTTTTTAATTTGTCCTCTGAATTTTCAACTCCAGTCACATTCGTAGTTAATTTTTTCAAACGTCCAGCTAATTATTTTCGATTAACACCTTCTGTAGATCGACTAACTGACATGATTTTGAAACTGTAATTTTAGTACTTTTCTGCCTGTTATTGTTAAAATTTTGTTTAGGAGCCAATACTTTGTTCTCTCTCATTGCTCCCCTTGTGTTATTTTGACTGGACAACCCAAGCTTTTAAAGGGCTTAAAGAAGAAATAAAGAAAGAATTTCTTTCAGACAAAGTAAATACCTCGAAGGTTCAATGGTAATGAGTCTCTCCTACCAAATTACAAAAGGCTTATTTAGGCATTGATGAGTTACCATAAATGATCTAATGACTAATTGACGCCCCCTTTCAAACAAACGCCTCTTGGCTCATTTAATAAGCGCCGCTCTATAATATTATATTTGCATTAGACGCCCCTCTCTAATAAACAACCTTTGTCTAGTAAACGCCCCCATGAAAATTATTTCAAATAGTTTTAGAACTTAGCAAAAAAGAGCCAAATCATTCAAAGTATTCAGTTGTCTGCTCGATTGGCAAGACTTTGAGCATTGCATCTTGTTCAGCATTTCAAAGTTGACAACACATTGACCCTTAACTAGGATTCTGACATAGAAGTTGAGATTTGAAAGAGCGCAGATAAGGATCTCTAGACGGCTAGCTGAGCGGTAGAAATTGATAGACAGAATATTGCGCTATTCATAAGCTCTCTTTACATTTTCGCCGAAAGCAATAAAAATACTGTCAAATACTGTCAAACAGCATATATATCCTCAATATACATAGCAGTAATGAAAGTTTCTTGACTGCATATGAACAATTCCACACTTACGTCGCAAAGCTAAGCATGAATTCAACGGTAAACGGGTCCATCGAGTCCTGCTTCGAGGCTCAGTTAAATTTCAATGCGTTAAAAATCGGAGGAACCGTCACCCTCTCTGATCTTTATCGTTTCACTGGCCGGAGATTCTCTCATTGTGATAATCGTTTATAAAACGCCGAACTTAAGAAAACCGATAAATTATTTCATCGCAAACATGGCCTCGTCTGATTTGTTATTTTTTGATCTTCAGAGTACCTTGGCGCATGTTCTACTTGCACACCAAAGACTCGTTTCTTGTCGGTGGTCAGCTTGGTCAGGCCTTGTGTAAGCTTATCCCTTTCTTTGGAGACGTTTCTTTTGTCGTTTCGATTCAGAGTCTGATTCTGATAGCAGTGGATCGATTTGGAGCCGTGGTGTTTCCACTCCGTTCACCACTCATCAGATCCAAGCTATGTCCCTTCTTCATTCTCGCCACGTGGATAGTTGCCGTAGCTGTCCGAATTCGCCATTCTTTTTCGCCAACGAGCTCGTTGAATCCCCAGAGCGAAACTGGTGTGTTACGAAATGGAAGAAAGTATTCGGAGATTCATCGTCCTATGCCAGTTTCCAACTAGCTTACTACATTCTGTTTTTATACATCCCTGTCCTGTTGTTAGCCATTCTTTAGTCCATCATCTTTATCAAGCTCAAGACACAGGTACACCCAGGTGAGCAGTCCGCGAACACTCAGCAACAGCGGAACAAAAGAAGCAGAAACGTGCTTCAAATGTCCATTGCTATCGTAACAATGTTTGTGCTTTGCTGGTTACCTTTCACTACTAACATTTTAATCATAATAGTGTATAAGGACAGTGCAACGTATTTCTCCTGTAGTTTCTGGATATATTTTCATGTAACCTACTTTACGGCTCACGCTTACTGTGCTATCAACCCGATTATCTGCTTTATTTTTAGTAGTAATTATCGACAAGGTGCTAAAAGACTCATAAAATGTTCTTTTGTACGGGCGTAAGTCGCAAAAATGTGCTTTTGATATGCATGTATATGTCAAGAGTTAGAGGTTCAAGGAACATTTGCCAATAAAAGCTATCACGACTGTTAATTTACTTTGAAAGTAAAATGTGTTCCAGTTTATGCTCCCCTGCCTCAGCCCTGCCATGACTGCAAAGAGTGGCAGCATAGGCGACGTATTGTAAGAGTTTTGGTGGTAAATAACAGTGCCAGATCCAGACCTTGAGATAAGGGGAGGGGCTCCAGGTCATCCAGACCCTTAGATAGGGGGGCGGTCTCCAAAAAAATTTTTTTCGGCCCTTCGGGTTTCGGTTTGGTCTAAAAATAATGGGAGGCCCGGGCCCCCCGGGCCCCTCCCCTGGATCCGCCACTGAATAAAACTCAGGGATTGACCATGCACCGTCTCAGCAGCAGAGCTGTTCATTCGCTCGCCGCTTGATCACTTGGCGTCACTCAACAAATTAGGAGATTCTGCTCGCAGGGTGAGATGGATCATTAGAAACGTTATGGGGGTGGGGGTGAGTGAACTACAAAATAAATATTCATGCAAGGGGGAAATAAACTGAAAAATAAAAAGAAATATTAACGAAAACAGTTTAAAGTTTCTACTCATATATATGATCTCCAAATGTCTTTTAACTGATCGATTTCTAAATACAACCAAAATGGCTTTACAATGTGCATTAATCTGCTCAGCTTGAAAGCTGAGCTTTAATCTGCTTCAGCTTCATTAATCTGCTCAGCTTCCTACTACTCACTTTTCTGGTGGATAGCGCTATCCACCGGAAAAATATGTAGTATAGCAGGGGCGGCGGTTTCTTTTTTCTTTTTTCCGCCCCGTCAACAGTTCGCGTGCCTTTCCCCAATATCTGAGAGACTGCAGGTACAGTTCAGTTTAACCAAGTAAAGAATTAGGAATGGTCACGGCTGGAAAAACGAATTAGTGCCGCGTAACAGCGACAGAACTGATGTAATTGCAGGTGTTGCATCGAGGACGTTGACACGCGCGGGAACAAGGCTGCTCAAAAGACGCGTCATCTGTGGAACGGACCAACTGACGTCGCGCTTGTAAGCCACAAAAGGTGGTTGCATGAGGAAGGACACATCGAGTTTGCTCATCCGTTGATCATAATAGGGTGCGAAAGTTCTGTAGTAGAAATAGTTTGACCTTGATGTTAAACCGGCGTCTATCAACGTTATATCACGCTTTTAGGACCGGTTACAACTAACAACACTTGCATTTGTTAATGGAAAGAATAATGGCTTTACAATAATTGACAAGAAAACGCATTTTAGTATATTTAATCGATTTAATTTTTTGTCTAGTTTTTGCCAGGGGGAAAACTTTGTCGGCGGCGCCTTTGAAGATTGTCCCGTCTCAGACAAAATTAAAAAAAATACGCGACAAATCATCCGCATCATTTATTAGGCGTTGATGATGACAGGATATTCCGCTATTCATAAGCTCTCTTTACATTTTCGCCGAAAGCATATTAGTTTTGAAAAGTAGGTTGTTACATAAATGACAATAAACTCAGTCCTTTCTCTTTTAAATGACTCCCGTCCTTAAACGCCCCTCTTGGAACCCTACAATGAGTAATCGCTCTGGGCGTCTCCGAGATCATTTACGGCATTTTAAAGAGGGTGGGTTTTCTGGTCACAACGTTATCGAAAGAGAAAACTGTAGCCATCAAGTACTGAAGTTTGTAACGATTAAAACTGAGCAGCCAAAGGAGCTTAAACAAGCCCTTGTCAGAAGAACTTGCTAGTTTCTCTTTGCCGACAGCAGACGTTTGGTTTTCCCATTTTTAGCTTGATCGAGAAGTAAATGTTATATTGAGAACTTCATGTGTTATTCACACTTGATGATAAATGTCAAATGTTTTAGGAAACAGACGTTTCGGGTATATAACTCTTCTTCAGTATCAAGAGAACCGTTATTATTACGCCTCCTGGCAATTGTCATAGACATAAAAATCAGGAGCGAGCGCGTGTAAATAATAGCGAGCGCAGCTGAAATTGATATTTAGATCTTTAGGTTTGAACGGTTCCTAGCTGCAAGAAAACCCTCATTTCACGCTGCTTCGGTTGGATGTCGGTTCCACTGCATAGAGCCATCCCCACACCACACAACTGGAAATCGGAAATACTGTGGCCCGTGGAGTTGAAATGTTGCGCCACAGGAAGCTCAGGAGTGTTGTTGCGCGTGCGTATACTTCGCAAACGTTCGCCAAAACGACTCCTGAGGTTTCGTTCAGTTTCACCAATGTAAAGAACTGGGCATCGGCGGCAGGATATGCAGTAAACAATATTCCCTGATTGGCTAGAATGTGAAAGTTCTGTAGTAGAAATCCTTTGACTTTGGTGCTAAACGAGTGGCATGCGAGATCAAGACGCACCCTATCAACGGTTGCGAAACTCTTTTCGGATGGGTGCAGCACATCATCGCGGTTAATAGTTTCATTGATATGAGTTAGGCGGGTGGGTTTTCTGGTCATTGTTAAGAAAAAAATGCCCCAACATTATCGAGAGAAATAATTGTAGCCAACAAGTACTGAAGTTTGTAACAATTAGAAGCAACAGCAAGACTGAAAAAACACACCTTGTTTTAGAACTTCCTATTTTAAGTTCGATCGAGAAGTAAATGATATAAGACCGCATATTTTATGCAGACGTGATAACATTCATTTACAGTGGCGGCCTTTCAAGACTTCCCAGTCTCAGACAAAATTTTTAGAAAAGCGCGACGAACCATCCGAATCATTTGTTTGGCGTCGATGATGACAGAAAATTTGTCTCAATTAATAACCAACTTTTTCGCTAATGAAAAAATACGGCCCTATCTTTTTAATCGATTTGTTACTACTCTGGTTGGCTTAAAGTGAGTTGATGACTAACACCATTATACAAATACACTTCTAGCAGCTGTGCTGAGGCTTTGCTGGGGACTTACAATTGCCAATAAAAGTTCTGAATCAAACAGGATACGCAATATAGAGAGCAGTAATTCAAAGTTGTTTGACTGCATACGTACAATTCCACAGATACGTCGCAAACCTAAGCATGAACTTAACGGTGAACGGATCCAGCGGGTCTTGGAACTGCTTAAATTTTTCTGGGTTGAAAATCGGAGGAACCGTTGCCTTTTGTCTGATCATCATCGTTTCACTGGTCGCAAATTCTCTCATTGTTATCATCGTTTATAAAACGCCGAAATTAAGAAAGCCGATAAATTATTTCATCGCAAACATGGCCTTGTCTGATCTGATGTTTTCAATATTCTGGATACCTTGGAGCCTGTCAGACTTCCACACCAATTACTTATTTCTTATCGGTGGTCAGCTTGGTCAGGCCTTGTGTAAGCTTGTCCCTTTCTTTCGTGACGTTTCCTCTATCGTTTCGATTCAGAATCTGATTCTGATAGCAGTGGATCGATTTGGAGCCGTGGTATTTCCACTCCGTTCACCACTCATCAGATCCAAGCTGTGTCCCTTCTTCATTCTCGCCACGTGGATAGTTCCCGTAGCTGTCAATTCGCCATTCTTGTTCGCCAACGAGCTCGTTGAATCCCCAGAGCGAAACTGGTGTGTTAAGAAATGGAAGAAAGCATTCGGAGAGTCATCGTCCCGTGCCAATTTCGTACTAGCTCTCTACATTCTGTTTATTTACTTACCTGTGCTGTTGCTAGTCATTCTTTACTCCATCATTGTTATCAAGGTCAAGACACAGGCACATCCAGGTGAACAGTCCGCCAACAGTCAGCAACACCGGGACAGGAAAAACCGAAACGTGCTTCAAATGTCCATTGCTATCCTAACAGTGTTTGGGATTTGCTGGTTACCTGTCTCTATCAACTTTTTAATCATACTGTATCAGGACACTCTCACGCATTTATCGTGTAGTTTCCGGATATACGATGAAGTCACCATTTATATGGCTACCGCGTACTGTGCTATCAACCCAGTTATCTGTTTCATGTTTAGCAGTAATTACCGAAAAGCTCTTAAAAGACTCATAAAATGTTCTTTTGTACAGGCGTAGGTCGCAAAAATGTGGTTTTGGTTGAAGAGTTAAGAGTGCGAGGTTCGTGGAACACTCGCGAATAAATGTATCATGACCATCAGTGTATTTTTAGCAGTAATTACCGAAAAGCTCTTAAAAGACTCATAAAATGTTCTTTTGTACAGGCGTAGGTCGCAAAAATGTGGTTTTGGTTGAAGAGTTAAGAGTGCGAGGTTCGTGGAACACTCGGGAATAAATGTATCATGACTATCAATGTATTTATAGTAGTAAATAAAAGACTCATGAAATGTGCTCTTGTACAGGCGTAAGTCGCAAAAATGTGCTTTTGACTGAATATGTTAAGAGTTAGAGATTTGTGGAACACTCGCGTGAATACATGTATCATGACTATCTTTTTTTTAGTAGTAATTGTCGAAAAGTTCTTAGAATACTCTTAACTTGAATGTTCCTTTTTACCGGCTAAGTCGCACAAATGTGCTTTTGATTGAATATGTTAAGCTTTACAAGGTACGTGGAACACTCTCGAATAAAAAAATCACAACTACTGCCGTTGGCGTACTTAACTGAGGATTAAGTCTGGCATGACTGCGAAATATGACAGCATAGGCCACGTATTGTTAAAGGTTGGGCGGTAAATAAAACTCAGGGACGGATATTGGGGGCGTACGCAGGTGAAGTACAACTGTACAACTAACAACTCTTAATTACTGCAGAACCGCGAAGTTATAGGAGAGGTTCTGCCCGAAAAAAGGAAGGAATTAAAACGGACAATTATATACATCTGTTGAATTTTTAGCGCCACCCCAAGGTTTGACAGTAATGTTTACTTCGTCAAAAGAACTTGAGCAAGAAAAAAACCGCATGTTTTTGTGGCACGTACGCCGTTCGCCCATTGCAAAAAAATACATGAAACAAAAAGTTAAA